AAAAAAAAGTTAGAGAGGGAGAGAGCCAAAGCATAAGAGACTCTTAAGAACTGAGAATAAACTGAGGGTTGATGGATGGTGGGAGGGAGGGGAAAGTGGGTGATGGGCAGTGAGGAGTGAGGAGGGCACCTGTTGGGATGAGCACTGGGTGTTGTATGGAAACCAATTTAACAATCAATATCATATTTAAAAAAATTCTTAAACAAAAAAAGATAATACTTAGAGACAATGAACTCAATAAATGTACCAAGCTGTGTTTCTATGTTTGGAAACTTAAAAAGAGCATCAGAGTTATCTTCTTAATGGAAGCATCATCCAAATTTCTACTCTTATGAGTTCTGTTTAATGAAAGTAACAAGAGGAACTCAATATGACTATAACCTGGATATATGGGTGGGATGGGGGAGAAGCATCCCTACTAGCTCAAACTCCAGGAAGAAATTAAAACAAAAAAAGTAGTCATCCTGCTGATGGCTTGATAAAGTCACATGGCCCAGGAGAGACAGAGGCCTTATCATGGCTCCATATAATGACTCATAGATCACTGGGGACCTGAAATATATGTCTGGTGATAGACATCACAAACTATTAGATAATTACACCATAATAATGACTACAAAATCATGGGTTCAGGAACTATGTGAGGACAATTATTTTTCTTTTCTGCCCTAAGACTGCTCTCTTGCTTCTAGATAGTTCTGTTACATAAGGTTTCCTCCCATCAGTCAAGAGGTAGACAGAACAGCACAAATTATCACGGATATGTTTTATGACTTAGTGAGATGTGTGGAAGGGAAAAATATGGCATGGGCAGCTGTGGCAGATAGACCAAAACTGTGGATTGGAGGAATTGTTTTTTTCCTTGAATAATGGTTACTGCCAGACTTCAGCTTATCCAGGTACACAAAGATTGACTCAGGTATGAAGTTCCTGATGGTCCTACTGTTTCATATAAAAGTCTTAATAGGAACCATTGTTTATGCATTTTAATATTATAAATGTTTCTATAGCTAGGTAAAATAAAGAGAATGATTTTGAATAGAAAAAAAAGTGTTGTCTTGCTGTTAACATTATGTTATGTTTAGCACACTTGGCCTCCTTTATGTATTGTTTTCTCTTTCCTCTAGTGGCCTGATTATCGCCATGTTCCTTAGTTGGATGTTTGTGATACTCCTGAGATACATAGCTGGATTACTCTTCTGGGTCTTCATGGTGGGTGTGATTGGAATTATAGGTTATGGTAAGTATCACTCCTTTTAAAATCACCAAATGTCAAAGTAGTCCTTTTCTTTTCATTATCAATTTATGGCCAGTATCAGTTACCAGAAAGAATTTTACTTGCAGTGAATTTAATTATTCTTTACTCCCCTATCCCTAAAGTGTTAAACTGAGAAAAATTATATTTTGCATATATTATTTCTATAACTTTTATCTTCTTTATCTTGAAAAAAAGTGCTGTCAAAATGTTCTACTCTTTTTCCTTACTGACCTTTGGTTTCATGCCTCATAGTTATTAAGAAGGAGATAAAAAGAATACCTTTCAGGCTGATAAAAAATATTTCAGACAACTTATTTTATTCCTTTAAATTTTCTGTCTGGTCATAGGCTAGGTCTGCATAGTTACAGAAGTGTGATCTATTTTTCTCTTCGAACACAATACTTTTAACACAGGTACTGTCACACATTCTAATAATTGGCCCGTACTCCATAATGAGTCATCACCCTCTAGAGTCAAGTATTCTGAATTACACTCTTTGGGTGGAGGGTTACTGTATATAAAGGTTGAAATCTAATGAAAAACTCAGTCACCTCAAAAGCAGTACAGGTACAGTGTGAACACCAAAAAGGCACTAAAGTCTCTCCCAAGGAACAATATAACACTTATGGCAGTTTCCTTTTAGTCTGCTAATACATATTTGGGTCAATATATGAATATTTGAGATGTTTCTATTCAAGTGATTTCCCCTACAATACCATTTGGATTGACAATGTAGTTTTATGGTAGTAGACACAAAAAAATAGCAAAATTCTTATTTTTGTCACTCGAAGAAGAACTTCACACATATCCATATAAGAATGCAGTTGAATCTCCCAGTTCTGTGGTTAGCCTGAGTTCTAATCCCAATTCCATAACCTATAACTAAAGAACTTTGGAAAAGTTTCCTAATGATTGTAAGACCCAATAATGTTCCTTATTCGTAACCTTAGCACAATAATAGTATCTCCACCTTACAAGATTGTGAAGATTAAATGAGACAATGAATATAACGCTCTTAGATCAATACCTGGAAAACAGGAAACACTCAATATGTGTTGGTTTATTGTTACTGTCCTCCTCGTTATCCTCAATAGGTTTCTAGACAGTTGTTACGTCTCTGTAGGTATTCTTTATCTGCTCCTACTATGCAGCTGCATGTGAAGAGGTGGGTCAAACAGGTGGAGGAATGTAAGAAGTGATACCCCTTAATCCAAAAACTCCCAAGAAAGCTTTTTGTTTAAAAGTCTTTTGTGTGTTTCACTTAGCGCTCAAAATAAACTCTGCCCTCTACCACTAGAGTCTGGGCATGTGATTCAATCACTTTTATTGTCATCAAGAAGGGAGGGACAATAAAGTCTGGTATTGATTTCACTGACTTGTTTTAGGGAGCAAGAAAAATCCGAGTTTGGCAGTAGTGACAGTTTGACAGTGGCAAGAGGGAGAAAGATTGTCAATATATCACAAGTGCAGGTGAAATAACCAATTTCAGCTCCCCGTTGACTCCCTAGGTGTAGTGCTAACTCAGCAATTAATGGTGTGGCAAATCAGCTTGAAACCATTCATTGAGTGGGGAAATGTCTAGCGAGACTGAGAAGTATAATATTACATATAACTGACCTCTGCTACTATCTTGGACAACTGACTTTCTCCACATAGTGGGAAACCAACCATTTGCTACTAATAGCCTATTTACTAAGGCAAACAACAATGTGGATGTGTCATACTAAGCAGAGAAAAAGCCAGGCTATTTGTGGGCAAGTGCCCTTGAACATCAGTGGAACAATTCTTACTGACCAGAACAAGTTAAGAGTTACATAGGAGAGACTATATAACTGGGGTTATAAGCATGAATTTGGAGATTGAAAAGGCACAATCCCAGGTTCATTGCATATTAACTGTGTGACCCTCTACAAGTACATAGTCTCTCTAATTTGTCGTGTCTTCAACTACACAATAGGACTCTGAGTATTTCTTTCTTCAAATTTTTACTTAATTCTAATGAATTAACTAACATACAGTGCAATATTGGTTTCAGGAGTAGAATTCAGTGATTCATCGATTACATACAACACCCAGTGCTCATCATAACAAATGCCCTCCTTAATATCCATCACCCTTCTAGCCCATCCCCCACCCACCTCCCTCCATCAAACCTCAGTTTGTTCTCTATCTTTAATAGTCTCTTATGGTTTGTTCCTTTGCTCTCTGAGAATTTTTTTAAGATTTTTTTTAGTGTTTATTTTTGAGAGAGAGAGACAGAGCATGGCAGGGGAGGGGCAGGAAGAGAGAGAGAGAGAGAGAGAGACCAAATCTGAAGTGGTCTCCAGGCTGTCAGCACAGAGCCTGACATGGGGCTGGAACTCATGAGCCATGAGATTATGACCTGAGCCGAAGTCAGACACTTAACCCACTGAGCCATCCAGGCACCCCAGACTCTGAGTATTTTTTTAAAATAATGTACATATAGTGTTTAGCTGCTTAGCACATAATAATTGCTCAATAAACAATCTTGGTTTACACAGGAATGGATGTTGAATTTTGTCATGTGCTTTTTCTGCATCTATTAAGATGATCCAAACAATTTTTATCTTTTCTTTCATTAATTTCATTAATGTGGCACATCACATTTATTGGTTTGTGGGTGCTGAACTATCTTTGCATCCCTGGAATAAATCCCACTTGATCATGGTATATGATATTTTAAAAGTATTGTTTAATTCAGTTTGCTAATATTTTGTTGAGGATTTGTGCACCTAAGTTCATCAGGGATATTGGCCTATAATTTTTTTGTGGTGTCCTTGTCTGATTTTGGCATCAGAATAATACTGGCCTTGTAAAATGAGTTTAGAAATGTTTCCTACACTTCCATTTTTTGAAGGAGCTTGAGAAAGATGGTATTAATTCTTCTTTGAATTTTGGTAGAATCTACCCATGAAACCATCTGGTCCCGGCCTTTCGTTTGTTGGGAGATTTTTGATACCGATTCATTTTTCTTACTAGTTTGGTCTGTTCAGATATTCTGTTCCATCATGTATCCATCTAGGTGGGTTGTATATCTAGGAATTTATGCATTTCTTCTAAGTTGTTGAATTTGTTGGCATATAATTGTTCTTAATATAGTTGACACTTGAGCACCATGGGTTTGTACTGCATGGGTACACTTACATGAAAATTTTTTAAAAATCTTTAGTTTTGAGAGAGAGAGAGAGAGGGAGGGAGAGAGGGAGAGGGAGAGAGAGAGAGAGAGAGAGAGAGAGAGAGAGAACGAGTGGGGGAGGGGCAGAGGGTTAGGGGGAGAGAATCCCAAGCAGGCTACACAATGTCAGCATGGAGCCTGAGGCAGGGCTCGAAGTCACTAACAGTGAGATCATGACCTGATCCAAAATCAATAGCTAGATGCTCAACCAACTGAGCCACCCAGGTGCCCTCAGGTTTTATATGTGTGTATACACACACACACACACACACACACACACACACACACACACATATATATACAGTACTATAAACATATTTTCTTTTCCTTATGATTTTCTTTTTTTTAAACTTATTTATTTTGAGGGAGAGAGACAAAGTATGTGTATACAAGCAGGGGAGGGGCAGAGAGAGAACGAGAGAGAAAATCCCAAGTAGGCTGTCAGTGCAGAGCCTGATGCATGGCTTGAAACCACAGACCGTGAGATCATGACTGGAGCCAAAATCAAGAGTCAGATGCTTCACTGAGCCACCCAGGTGCCCCTCCTTACAATTTTCTTCATAATATTATTTTCCCTAGCTTACTTTATTATAAGAATATAGTACATAGTATATATAGCATACTAAATACTAAATGTTAATATTTAGTATTAACTGCTAATGGTATTAGTAAGGCTTCTGGTCAACTCTGGGATTTTAGTAGTTGAGTTTTGGGGGAGCCATGGCTTTTTGACTGCATCAGGGGTAGGCACCCCTAACCTTCATGTTGCTTAAGGATCTACTGTAGTCTTCTATGATCCTTTGTATTTCTTTGATATCAGTGATAACCTCTCCTCTTTCATTTCTGATTTTATTTATTTGAGTCCTCTCTTTTTTTGTTGGTGAGTCTAGCTAATACTTGTCCATTTTGCTTATCTTTTCAAAGATCCAGCTCTCAGTTTCATTGATCTTCTATCTTTTTAGTTTCTATCACATTTATTTCTGCTCTAATCTTTTTTTTCCCCTTCTAACTTTGGGCTTCCTTTATTCTTTTTCTAGTTCCTTGAGTTCTAAAGTTAGGTTGTTTGTTTGAGACTTTTCTTGCGTCTTGAGATAAGCTGTGTCCTTATGAACTTCCCTCTTAGAACTGCTTTTGCTGTATCCCACAAATTTTGGTATGTTATTTCTCCATTTTCATTTGTCTCAAGTACTTTTTATTCACCTTTTGATTTCTTCTTGGACCTATTGGTTGTTCAGTAGCATGTTGTTTAATCTCCACATATTTGTGAATTTTCCAGTTTTCCTCATGTAATTAATTTCTAGTTTCATACCACTGTGGCCAGAGAAGATGATCGATATAATTTCAGTTCTTTTAAATTTATTAAGATTTGTTTTGTGGTCTAACATATGATCTATCCTTGAAAATGTTCCATGTGCACTTGAGAAGAATGTGTATTGTGTTGTTTTGGATGGAATAGTCTGTTTATATCTGTTAAGTCCACCTGGTCTAACATGTTGTTTAAAGCTGATGTTTCCTTACTGATTTTCTGTCTGGGAAATCTATCCATTTACAATCGCATTTAAAATTGCATCAGAAAAATAAAATACCTAGGAATAAATTTAACCAAGGAGGTTAAAGACCTATGTATTGAAAACTACAAGACATTAATAAATAGATTAGAGAAGATACAAATAAATGGAAAGATATTCTGTGCTCATGGATTAGGAGAATAAATATTGTTGAGATCTGCATAATACCCAAAGTAATCTACAGATTTGTTGCAATCCCTATCAAAATTCCAATTACACTTTTAAAAGAAGTAGAACAAATAATCCTAAAATTTGTATGGAACCACAAAAAAATCCCTACAAAACCCAAAAAGTCAAAGCAGTCTTGAGAAAAGAGAACAAAACTGGAGGCATAATGTACCCTGGTTTCAAGCTATATTACAGAGCTATAGTAATTTTAAAAGTATGGTATTGGCATAAAAACAGACACATAGATCAGTGGAACAGAATAGAGAGCCCCAAAATAAGCCCACTCGTATATGGTCAGTTAATTTATGACAAAGGAGCCAAGATATACAATGGGAAAGGACAGTCTCTTCAACAAATTGTGTTGGAAAAACTGGACTACTTTCTTACACCTATATACAAAAATTTACTCAAAATGAATCTAAAGACTTGAATATAAGACCTGAAACTATAAAATTCCAGAAGAAAACAAAGGCAGTAAGCTCCTTGACACAGGTCTTAGCAATGATTTTTGTTAACAGGATGTAAAAATCAAAAGCAATAAAAGCAAAAATAAATAAGTGAACCTACATAATCTAAAAAGATTCTACATAGCAAAGTAATCCCTCAACAAAATGAAAAAGCAACCTATTGAATGGGAGAAAATATTTGCAAATCAGATATCTGATAAGGAGGCTAATATAAAGGACTCACAAAACTCAGTAGCCAAAAAACCAAAAACAAACAAAACAAAATCAACAACAACAACAACAAAATTGTTTAAAAATGGCTGGAAGAGCTGACTAGACATTTTCCCAAAGAAGGTATACAGATGGCCAACAGCTACATGGGAAGGTACTCAACATCGCTAATCATCAGGGAAATGCACATCAAAACCACAATAAGATAATACTTCACACATGTTAGCAAAAAGAGAAGAAATAAGTGTTGGAAAGATGTAGAGCTAAAGGAACCCTTCTGCACAAGTTGGGAGGAAATGTAAATTGGTTCAGCCACCATGGAAAACAGTATGGAGATTCTTTAAAAAAAATTAAAAATAGAACTACCATATGATTCAGCAATTCCACATGTGGGTATTTACCTGAAGAAGATGAAAGCACTAACTCAAAAAGACGTATGCATCTCCGTGCTCATTGCTGCATTATTTACAATAGCTGAGATAGGAAACAACCTAAGTGTCCATCAATGGATGAATGCATAAAGAAATTGTTAAAAAAAAATGGATAAAAAAGAATGAAATATTGCCATTGCAACAACACAGATGAATCTGGAGACTATTAAGTAAGTCTGAGAAAGACCAATACCACATGATTTTATGTATATATGGAATCTAAAAAACCAAACAAGCACAGAAACATACCCATAAATAGAACTAATTGGTAGTTGCCAGAGGTGAGGGAAGTGGGAAGATGGATGAAATCAGGGAAAGAAATTAAGAGGTACAAACTTCAGGTTATAAAATAAGCCATGGGGATGCAAAGTACAGCACTGGGAATACAGTCAATAAAATTGTAATAACTATACGATGACAGATGGTAACTATACTTGCCATAGTAAACATTTTGTAATGTATAGAATTATTGAATCCCTACACCTGAAACTAATGTTATGTTGTAGGTCAACTACATTTTAATTAAAACTTAAAAATATAAAATTAAAAAAACAAGCTTGTACATACAGAGAACAGATGATATTTGCCAGAGGTGGAAGGTGGGGATGGTGGAGGGTGGAAAAAATTGGTGAAAGGAATATAAATTTATTTTAAATCATTAACCAAAAGAGACCTGCAGTTGCCATAATAGATTTTAGAATAAAAAGCATTATTATAGCTAGAAAGGATTGAATTTGCTTAAAAGATATACCAATTCTAAACATATATGCATCTAATGAGATAGATTCAAGATTCATAAACCCTAAGGATAAATAAATCATAAAAAACTTGTATGAGTTATGAATCTCCCTTGGGAGATCTCTTCTTATTTTTTTATTAAGTTTATTTATTTTGAGAGAAACAGAACAGTGAAAGTAGGGGAGAGGCAGAGAGAGATGGAGAGAGAGAATCCCAAGAAGGCTCTGCACTGCCAGCACAGAACCCGATGTGGGGCTTGAACTCACGAAACTGTGAGATCATGACCTGAGCTGAAACTGAAAGCTGGACGCTTAACCGACTGAGCCATTCAGGTGCCCCAACTCTTGAGCGATTTCAACACATCTTTTTCTTAAAACAAAAGAATAATCACAAAATTCAGAATAATTGTTCTTTGGCAGGGAGAGGCAGGGAGAGGATGAGATCTCAGAAGAGAAAGTTTATTTTGCTTAATTAGAGCAAAATTAAGATTATAAGATCTTAAACTAGGTGATGCATCTATATGTGTTCATTTGACTACATAATTTTGTATGTATCAGATATTCCAAAAGCATTTTTAAAGGAATTTTTTTTAAATGTTTATTTATTTTTGAGAGACAGAGAGAGACAGCATGAGCGGGAGAGGGCAGAGAGAGGGAGACACAGAATATGAAGCAGGCTCCAGGCTCTGAGCTGTCAGCACAGAGCCTGATACGGGGCTCAAACTCACCAGCGGTGAGATCATGACCTGAGCTGAAGTCGGACACTCAACCAACTGAGCCACCCAGGCGTCCCTCATTTTTAAAGGAATTTTTAAAAATACACTGGGAAAGCAGGACCAGAAAGAGATTTGTCTTATATCTCTTTGAGAAACAAATGTCCATTCTAGTCTAGTCTTGCCTCTCTCCATGGACCTCACTCTCTTTCTTACCTGATATCTAGAAAACAACCTGTTAGTTTACAGTTGGGGTTTAAAAGGAAGTTTTCCTCATGGGTGCCTGGATGGCTCAGTCAGGGAAGCAACTGACTCTTGATTTCGCCTCGGGTCATGATCTCATGGTTTGTGGGATTGAGACCCACATCGAGCTCTGCACTGACAGTGCAAGGCCTACTTGGCATTCTCTCTCTCCCTTACTCTCTGTCCCTCCCCTGCTTGCGTGTACTCTCTCTCTCTCTCTCTCTAAATAAATAAACTTTATTTTTTTTAAAGCAGTTTTTCCTATTATTGCCTGGACATTTCCAATGGACCTAATCCATACTCATTGGTCATAAAAATAAACTCATTAACTCTATTTTTTTATTCCCAATTTATCTAGACTATGTAGAAAGTCATTATACAGTCTGAAATACAGTGTCTTGGGGAAATCTAGTCAGCCCATATTTGCTTTGCCTGGATACAATCTTTGATAAGACTATGCGTTAGATAATTCTATCAAGACATGACTTCACCTAAAATTTTTAATTCAAAAGCACTCCTTTTTCAACTTAAATCTTTTTTTAAAAATTTGCTTTTTAAATAGATTGTATTATTTATGTGCTTCAAATTTCAAAAGGTATAAAGTTTATACAGTGAAATTTGCCTTCTCGTTTTACTCCTTGGTCAGTAAGTTTCCTTCTCTGGAAGTAAAAAATGTATTTCTGTGTATCCTTCCAGAGATACTTTATGTGTACACAAGAAAGTATATATAAAGATTGTTCTACTTCTTATATGAATTACAGCACACTTTTTATGTCATTTTGTGCCTTGTTGTTTTCACTTAACAAAATATCTCAGTGATCATTGAATATCAGTACACTTTCTCTTCTTTATATAAAAAGATAGTATTCTACTATACAAATATACCATAATTTACTTAGCCAGTCCCTGTCGATGGACACTGAGATTGTTTCTAATCAAAAGGACATATAAAGCCAGATGTTGCCACAGTGAGCCAGGCAAATACTGGTAACATTTATTTGAATACAACAGCACATTTAGAATATTAGATTCACATAAAATGTTTACTCTGTAAATATGAATCTTGCCTTTGTAGATATATGTGATGTGTATAGCTTATATTTCAGAAAATAACATTTTATATTAGTCTGTTTTTCTTTTCTTTTCAAGGAATAGGCCACTGTTACCAGGAATACTGCAATCTTCAGGGACAGCCAAATTCTCATCTAACTGTATATGACATCGGGATTCAGACTGATATAAGCATGTACTTTCAACTGAAACAAACATGGTTCACATTTAGTGAGTGGATTTTAAAAACTGGTTTTGTTAAAGTTTTAATAATGAAAGGAAATCTTTTTTCTTTTTTCTTTCTTTTTTTTTTTTTTTGCCTAAAGGAAATCTTGGGTTGGTGTAACCTGTTAAATATACTTATCACTAATGTCATAAAAGTAAATGTGTCTATGATTTTACTAGCTACAGTAAATGGAAAAGTCATTGAGGGAAATTTATTATATAATCTAAGGAAATATTACCTTACAATGATCTCATGCTATTTGCCTTCAACTTAAAATGTTTTGGATGTGGATGTTTATAGCCATTAACTTGATATCCAAGAAAGGTGTTTTGAAAGGAAAAAAAGTTGGATTTTTCAAATTTGTTTTAAAAACAGAAAAAAAACATTTTTTTTTCATAGCAAGACTTTTAAACTATTATAGGAATTGTAATAATAAGTAACAAAATGAACTTACATTTTTGAAGTGTTCAGATTATTGAATTAGTTAAGGGTAAATTAAAAAAATTTTTAAAGCAAGATGATTTCAGAGATCACTTTTATATTCCTAGAATGGTTTTTATCATATTCTTTCCACTTCACGGAGATTAATATTCTTTAATCAAGATTTAAAAATAATCTCTATTTACATGTTGCTTTAAAAGAAACTCTTCATATTATTTAAGTTAGAGCACCAGGCAAAGCATATTCCAAGAGGCCTGGTAAGAAACCCAGAGAGAGCCTCAGAGGGGAGTAATATCTTGATGGGGGCATCATAGGTCCAGGTATGGGCCCCATCCCCATAATGTGAAAACTTGCTTTTGTCACTTCACCCAGAAGTCATCAGGTTTTCAAGGACAGGCCCATATCATGTCACCAGCCTTCCATTTTAGTTGTTTACACTAATAGGATACTCTTCCTGACCAGAATGCAGACATATTCCATCTAGGACACTGCTTTCCTGGGATCAAGGCATGTGAGCAACAAAAATAATAATGAGAAGCTTTATTTTTTTTTTTTTTTTTTTAGCAGGGGCTTTGTATAATCTTGAGAGACTTTTTCTATAGGCTCATGCCAAGCTTGATGACCTAGCCCTTTTTTCTGCCACATTTGACTTTTCTTTTTCTCGGGCAATGCTAGGTCAAAATGTCACATCCTTGTTCTTTGGTTCCCATGTGCGGCTCTTATGCAGATTAGTTCCCTTCATAGAACACTTTTTTCCCCCAAATATGTTGCAGAAGAATTATTTCATTTGTAGTCATTTCTTTCTAACTAAAAATCAGAGGCATCTTAGGATTTGTATCCTCAACAGTTTTCCTGAATTTGAATGATTCCATATGTTGTCAGAAATCTACTGTGATTACCTACCATGTCTAAAGATGATGAATTTCATCCATTACGTTTTGAAACCTCTAATTTTATTATCAGATGGATCTTAGCTACAGGTTCTGTGGTCTTCCCACAGCTGTCTCTTCAGTGCCTTCCACACAAAAATCATTGACATGATCAGAATCTGCCACTGAAGAAGTTAAAGGATCTCCTTTGAGGAAAATACAGAGCTTGCTTTTATTTTCAAGTCTAGCAATACCAGTCTTTCCTCAAATGAGCCTCTACCTTCACAACCCATTTATCAGACAATAATTGATTACTTGCTCTGTTTGGACAAAATTCTAGGTACCAAAGAGAAAGGCATAATGTGAAATTACACTCATCAATGGAAACACTAAAAATAAGCAGAGTTATACATACAAAAATTATCATTTTTATGAGTTTTGGGTAGTGTTAGGAGATGGTTCTATTGTCATTTCTGCTATTAGTTATCCCAGTCTCCTCCTCTGAGAAGTTAGAGTAACACCAACTTCTCTATAGGGTCTCAAAAACCAGATTTCCATTCTTTGCTCTTATTCAAACACAGGAAAAGAATATAATATTTAAATTCAAAAGACAATAAAATCCTTGTAATCATTTTTAGATATGTAGTTTTGTAAAGGGAGAAGTTTAATATGAAACGTTTTTATCAACGCAATTTCAGAATATAGAGTGATTCTGGCATATCTTATATTAGGTTTGTTCTAAGATAATGATTTTAGCTTAATATGGCTATACCCCATAATTGTGGACTCAATTTAAGAGAATCAAATATGCATGAAAACATAAATACATAATTTCACTAAAAGAAGACATAGTGGTGAGATGATACGTTACTAAGATCCTCTCACATCTCTGGGTTAGCTGATTTCTACTTGGAGATGTTAAGTGATATGTGCTGTAACATCAGAATCTTGGTGGTATAACAATAGAATGAAATGAGTGCCCTGTCACTTGAAGTGTTCAAGCATGAGCAGAATTACTGTCTAGCAAGGATATAATGGAACAGATTCTTTCACAGATGGGAATTATAGCTTTCCCTTAAGTTTCTTCTATAGTTTCAGATTGTTATTAGCAGTGCTGTATTTCCTTAATTTTAAGATACATAATGTTTCACTTTTTAACATCTCTGAAGTCAGGATGCATCTTATGATCAATGAAAAGATGTTTAATGAAGGATTTTCTTATTTTTCCTAAAAAAGTTATTACTAAGTTAAATATGCGTCTTAGAATTGAGGAAATATAATAATTAGGACCATTTGGATTCAAGTAAAAAGAAATTAATTTAAGGTAGCCAAAAAGAAAATTGGAACAAGCTAGGGGCAAGGCATTGGGACTTATTATAAGAATATAGAAGTGTCTCATCAAACTCAAAACAACAGAAAAGCAGCTGGACTTTCAAGTGTATTTGGATCCAGGAAACAGAAAGCCAAAAAAACCCAAGATTTCCTCTCTGCTCTGTTTCCTTAATATACATATACTTCATTCTTTCTTTGCAAATTCACTCACTTCACGTAAAGGTGGTTTTGACACAGTTCATTGAGTTTGTATAACTCAGAGGTCAAGAGCTTTATAACCTTTAATTCAAAACTGAAGTAGATTCCCTTAGTTCTAATTCTGAGACTTTGATCAGACAACTGGAGTTGGGTTTACACCCTGATTCCATCAATGGTAGCCATGATGAGTGGAGTCACAAAATAAAAATGTGGCAGGCAAGAGCCTGCCCTGTCAGTCAGCAAGGTCAATTAATGAAGAGGCATTGTGAGCAGGGTCGACAGCTCAAAAAGTTTTTTCTGTAATTCTCTTAATCAATGAAGTGTAAGTGAACACATCTAAAATAACACTGCCTAGAGCAGCCCTTCCTTCTGTCTCATTTTTACAAATGGTGTGAAATGTTTCTATAGATAAAATGGAAGCCTGATCGACTGAGTTGTTCAAGCTCTAGCTAAAGGTTTTAATCTAGACTTCTCAGCATTTCTTGGAGGTTTTGCAAGTGAATTTCTAAGATTGGCATTTGGGGAGAGGTAGCACTGCTTAAATTATGGAGAGTCAGAATTGGCAGAAATAATCACGAAACTCAGTCCTAACTTTTGCGGAGAAAGTTTGTTTTTTGGATTGATTTGTATCACACACTAATTTTTTTTTTTTTTTCCTGTTTAAAGTGGTAATACTCTGCCTTCTTGAAGTGTTTATCATCCTCATGCTGATCTTCCTCAGGGAACGAATCCGCATCTCCATTGCCCTGCTGAAGGAAGGGAGCAAGTAAGGCCCTGATGGAGAAACTCATATGTGTATCAGTCAGTCAAATCAGTCACTGCCTATTGTGTAGATGCCCCAGATGATTTTCCCTTTAAGAAGACTTGTTAAAGAAATCTGCTTTCCATCAGGAAGACTTAAGTTCAGACGTTGCCAATTATTAGAAAGGTCATGCTAACAAATCCTTCAATATCTCCAAACCTCAATTATCATAGGGTGAAATAGGGCTCAAACCTATTAGTCTATGTATTAGCACTTTTTAAACACCAAATGTATATTAGGATAATAACGTGTGAGAGTGATAAGGTGCTATATAAAAGTAACTCGTATTGTATATTGTATTACTCCCATATTGAATCATATGTTAATATTGATGGTTGAGATCATTTGCAAAACTTTAAATCACCATAATTCTATAGTCAATTATATGCTATTACCATTTCTATATGAATGACAAAATTTGCTAATAGAATAATTGATTCTAGGAGCACCAGACTATACATTTTATATATACAGCTCTTAATTCAGGAATTTTTTATTAAAAAATGCTCTAGGGGTGCCTGGGTGGCTCAGTCAGTTAAGCATCCAACTTCCAACTTTGGCTCAGGTCATGATCTCATGGTTCGGTTTGTAAGTTCAACTCTGCAGCGGGCTCTGTGCTGATAGCTCGCAGCCTGGAGCCTGCTTCGGATTCTGTGTCTCCTGATCTCTCCACCCCTCCCTCATTCATGCTCTGTCTCTGAAAAATAAACAAACATTGAAAAAAAATTTTAATGCTATAAAATAGGGGTTCCTGGGGCTCAGTCAATTAAGCATCTAACTTTTGCTTTAGGCTCAGGTCATGATCTCACAGTTTGTGAGATTGAGCCCAGAAGTTGGTGAGTTCAAGCCCATCAGATTCCGTACTAACAGTGCAGAGACTGCTTGGGATTTTCTCTCTCTCCTTCTGTCTGCCTCTCTCTCTCTCAAAATAAATAAACTTAAAAAAAATGCTATAAAATAAACACTAAAATTCATGCAGGGAGGTAATGACACCTACAGTTTCTAAACTATTCAAAAAGGTCACTTGAGGATAATACTTTAAACTTTTGAATACTGCATGGAAGAAACAAGAAAAGCATTACTATAAAGCCAACAGACCATCTTTCTATTTAGAACAATGGAAACTAAGTTCTAATGACCAGAGAGCAAATATTTTAAATCATCTGTAAGGATTATTTTAACAAAATTGTCATCTATAACTATAATAGTGCCACCTGAATCCAATGGTTTAAATAGTTAACAAGAAGTTTGTTAAACCCTCCTTCCTATAATAACTGAAGCCCAATCATTAGCCACTGAAAACTACTGATATTCTGGGTTTATTTATTAAGTAATATGATACTGTAATTCACTGTAACTTGCCCCACTATTACACCTCTGTGTGTGTGGGGGGGGGGGTTGGGGTAGAGGGCAATACAACTATGACAGGTTGATTTTTTTTTTTCAAGGGGAAGTTAGAGCGGGAATAAATTGGTGTGAGAATACAGGGTAAACATGAGATTCTCAATGATTCACCTAACAGCAGTATCTGCAGAAAGGTGACAAAACATAGCTCAAATAGGTGAACGAGGTAACAAATGCAAAAGGAATCTAAGATATGCCAATGCATTAGGAGTGGAAATAGTTCCATCATAAATCTCAGTGGCTAAATCAAACAGTATTGGGTTTTCAGTGTCATATGCTGAAAAGATCATTCAAAAGTAGGAATAGGGCTACTAGGATGGTGAACATTGCAGACACTATGACTTATGAGAACATATCAAGGGAATGATTATACTGGAACATAATAGTAACTTGAAGGGCTGCTATATGAAAAAGGTGAACATTTCTTTTCCAAAAGGTAGTGGATGAGTAACAGTCCAGGATATGAGGAAGAACTTTCTGAATTTCATATGACAGAGAATAAGCTCTGTCATACAAAAGTAAGTCTTTACCACTCAATGTGGTTACTAGAAACAAACATATTTAGAAAATAGTATAGAAGGGATTCCTGAATTAGGGAGGGATTCTCACATTTGATCAGATGATGTTCAAGGTTCTCTCCAATTTTGAAAGTCTAAGAATGTAAACAAAAGGAAGAACTATGATTATGATGTATCAAATCTTTGAGTCATAAGGAAATAGCCAAAGACGAAAAAGTTTGGGGTATCAAATCTTTGAGTCACACAGAAACTTGGGGAACTTTGGGGAACTTTTGGCAGGAATAAAATATGAGCATTAAAAGAAGGCCTCTAATTTACTAAAAACAGATAAATAAAACTTAAGTAAAATGTAAAGCCAACCAAGAATATGCCAGAATGATTAGCAAAAAAGAGTCAATAGTTATTACCACAGTTCTTGAATCAATTCAGTATAAAGCTTATTTCTAGTGTAAACAGAGAAAACTTTGAGAATTTATATCTTGTGGATCATTTTGAATTTCAACTATTGTTTTATTTCAGAGCCATTGGATATATCCCTACTACATTAGTTTATCCACTTTTAACTTTCATTTTCCTCTCCATCTGTATTTCCTACTGGGCGGTGATAGCAGTGTATCCTTTGGTAATTGACATCTTTAAACCTCAGGTCCACTCTATTATTGAAGAACCAAGAGTTTGTGTCCAGTGTTTTCCATCCTGGGAAGACTAGAAACACACTAAAGGTTTTTTATTTTTGTTTTTCCTTTTTTTTTTTTTTTTTTTTTTTTTTTTTTGCTAAGCTCTAAAAAAAAGTTTTTCTACTGATTGAATTTCCCCTCAGATAGGTCATATGGTAGATTTTGTTTTGTCTTCACATATGGTACTTCTTCTTGGCAATAACTGAAGAAAATTCCTTTGTATTTTAATGTTAAGGGATCACTCAGTACAGCTAACCCATCTTCTATTATTCTGGGTCTGAAAAATGTATGAATTATTAAAAAGATTAGAAGTTTTTTTGAAGTTAATCTCTCAGTGGACTTTTGAGTGATTTGCATTATTTTCTTGTCTATCTACTTTCAATCTACCAGCAAATAGTTTATCCTTAATAGACTAACTCAGTTACTTGGCTACATCAGGGGTACCTGTATACAAAGTCATAACCCCAGAAGGGCAATGTAAACATGAAAATACAACCTGTGACCCAGAGGTAAGTAAAAGAAACTAACTCTTTAACTTACTTCAATACAGAAGTCTACTACATTTCACCTAGCAATTATAAAAATCATTCTGAAATAGTGGCATTAATGGGAATCGCTGTTAAGAAGGGAAGGGTGGATCAGATCTTAGGAGAGCACTGAAAATGGCAGGCAGAATAGAGAGAAAGCACTATTCTTTCCTGAGCTCATCTGTTCTGTTACATACCCAACAAGCAGGTATGGTCAACAACAACACTAATAAATGTGAAAGTTTAGCGGGGGCAGAGTGGTGAACATATCATAGAAAATCAAACACTTCCAGAGCTCATTAAAGAATAATGTAAAGTGATGGGAGAGAAAATAGGAATAACAGCAGAAGCTAATGGGGGAATAGTAGGACATGCAATTGGGGGCTACATAAGTGGAGAAAGGAAAGGTGTTATCTTAGAATGGCATTTAATATAATATCTGTATTTTTTTTTTCTGAGTGCAGATTTTTAATACAACTGAAATTGCCAAAGCTTGCCCTGGGGCTCAGTGTAACTTTGCTTTCTATGGTGGAAAGAGCCTGTACCATCAGTACATCCCTACCTTCCAGATATTCAATCTATTTGTCTTTCTCTGGCTTATAAACTTTGTCATTGCACTGGGTCAGTGTGCCCTTGCTGGTGCCTTTGCTTCTTATTACTGGGCCTTGAAAAAACCTGATGATATCCCACCATATCCACTTTTTACTGCATTTGGACGAGCCATACGGTAAGTTTCACGTTGAGCCCTACATCTATCTTCTCAGTTGTGTTTAGTGTGCTTGTAATTCAGTCTTATGCTTATGTAATTCAAGTGGAAAGGTAAAAATGAGGTCAAAGACATGATTTAAAATTCATGGATGTCCACTAGCTATGTCTGATTTTACAGCTACAGTTTTATAATCCCAAACCAGGCCGAAATCCTTGTAAAAGCCACAAGTTTCTGGTGGAGCACCTGGCTGGTTCAGTTGGTGGAGCATGTGACTCTTGATCTTGGGGTTGTGAGTTCGAGCCCCATGTTGGGTGTAGAGATTACCTAAAATCTTAAAAAAAAAAAAAAAAGCCATAGGTTTCTGGAGAGAAGTGGTAGGGGAGGGCACCAAATTAAAAATTAAGAATTAACTTAGCTGTGTCTCTCCATTGCTTCACCCAAACATTCTATTTGACTGTAATGTGCTATTGGTATCATTTTTGTAGATGAAGGGCAAAATAGATGTTTATCATTTAAAATCCTCTGTGAAGACTTTTATCAGTCTGAATAAGAAAGTGTAAGCAGCTCTTCCCTAGCAATCTGCCTGCAGATCCTTTTTACCTATTACAATTTTTTAGCATACTTTTAGTTAATAGTAAAGATATTTTAACTTTAATTACCATTTTATCTTTACCCAGATATCACACAGGATCCCTAGCATTTGGATCTTTAATTCTTGCATCAATTCAAATATTTAGAATAGTCTTAGAATACTTAGACCGCCATCTTAAAGGTAAGACTTCAGAATTATGTTTTCTCAGATTTCCTGACTTTTGTGAAGAGAATAGATTGGGGCAGAGAGTTGGGGGGAACATGATGACTACAAGTTGGACTAGGATAATAAGGATGGAGGTGGTCAGGCCAAGGATATGTTTGGAAGGAAAAGCCAGTGGGACTTGCTGAGAGGATATGGGGCAGGAGGGGATAGGAAGAGGAGCAGTGGTGAAGAAAAGAGAGAAAATGTGTGTGTGATGTTATTTTCTAAGATGTAGAAACCAGGAGAAGCAAATTTCAAAGAAAAGATGAAAAACTGTGTTTTGGCATGGTGGAGATGTCAAGCAGTTTCAAACCTGGGGCTCAGGACGAGTCAGGATTAAAATATAAATGTAGGTGTCATCAGCATAAACCTTTACACATAACATATATAGTTTACAAACAAACTCTACTTTTAATGCACTTTAAAATATTTTATTGGCAAAACCATCTTCAAACAGAACAAAGTTGAATACTCCCAGATACCTCATTTCAAAATTTAATATAAAGCTACAGTAATCAGGGTGCCTGGGTGGCTCAGTTGGTTAAGTGTCTGACTTCGGCTCAGGTCATGATCTTGTGGTTCACAAGTTCCAGCCCCACATTGGGCTCTGTGCTGACAGCTTAGAGCCTGGAGCCTGCTTCAGATTCTGTGTCTCTTTGTCTCTCTGCCCCTTCCCTGCTTTCTGTCTCTCACAAAAATAAATAAACATTAATTAAAAAAAAAAAGCTACAGTAATCAAAACAGTGTGGGGGGCACCTGGGTGGCTCAGTCGGTTGGGTGTCCAACTTCAGCTCAGGTCATGATCTCACAGCTCGTGAGTTCAAGCTCTGCATCGGGCTCTGTGCTGACAGCTCAGAGCCTGGAGCCTGCTTCGGATTCTGTGTCTCCCTCTCTCTCTCTACCGTCCAGAGCTCATGCTATCTCTCTGTCTCAAAAATAAATAAACATAAAAAAAAAGTGTGGTGCTGGCATAAGGACAGACACATAGACCTGGAATAGAGAACCCTAAAATGAACCCTCACATATAAGGCCATTCAATGGGGAAAGGACCATTTTTTCAATTGACATTTCTAGAAAAACTGGATGTCCACATGCAAAAGGACTAAGTTGGGCCCATATTCTACACCATATACAAAAATCAATTCAAAATGGATCAAAGGCTTAAACACAAAAACTAAAACAAAAGTAAAACTCTAGAAGAAAGCAGAGGTGGAAATCTTTGTGGATGCTGGATTTGATGAAGATTCCTTAGATGGAACACCAAAAGCACAGGCAACAAAAGAAAAAAAAAAGATTAATTAGATTTCACACACACATACAAAAAGCTTGTGCATCAAAAGACATTACTAAGAGACATTACTAGTGAAAAGACAACCATAGGAGAAAATATTTGCAAATCATCTACCAGATAAGCAATATTCAGAATATATAAAGAGCTTCTACAACTCAACAATAACAATCCAATTCAACATGAGCAAAGGATTCTTAAAATTATGTAAATTTTTTCAGCTTTATTGAGGTATAATTTGCAAAATTGTAATATATTTATAGTATACAACATGTAATTTGATATATACATACGTTGTGAAAGGAATCCCACATTCAAGGTAACAAACATGTCCATTACCTCATATATTTATCTTTTCTTTTTCTCCTTCCTTCCTTCCATTTCTTCCTTCCATTTCTTTTCTTTTTTCTTTTCTTTTCTTTTTTCTCTCTCTCTCATTATTTTTTGATAAGAATGCTTAAATTCTACCTTTCAGCAAATTTAAATTGTACAATGTAGTATTATCAACTATATTCACCATGTTGTGCATTGGATGCTAAGACCTTTTTCATCACCTTTTTCATCCTTTCAACTTACAACTTCAAATTTGTACTTTTTACCAGTTCTCCCTATTTTCCCCATTCCCCAGCCTATGGTGACCCCCATTCTAAGATGAGTTCAACATTTAAAAAAATTCTACATATAAGTGATATCATGTGTATTTGTCTTCTTCTATTTGGCTTATTTCCCTTAGTATCATGCCCATCAAGTTCATCTGTGTTGCTGCAAAAGCAGGATTTCCTTTTTATTTTTTTATTTTTATTTTTATTTTTTTCCTCCTCAATACCCATCACCCACCCTCTCCTCCCTCCCACCCCCCATCAACCCTTAGTTTGTTCTCAGTTCTCAACAGTCTCTTATG